CCTTCTCTTCCCTTCCCTTCCCCTCCCCTCCCTTTCCCTTTGTTTTCCCTTCTTGCTTCTCTCCCTCTCTCTCCTCCCTTCGCTTTCCTTTCCTTTCTTCCTTCCTTCCTTCCTTCCTTCCTTCCTTCCTTCCTTCCTTCCCCTTCATTTTCCTTCCTTCCTCCCTTCTCTCCCTCTCTCTCCTCCCTTCCCTTTCCCTTTATTTTCCCTTCTGCTTCCTTCCTTCCCCTTCCTTTTCCTTCCTTCTTCCTTCCTTCTTCCTCCCTCTCTCCTTTCTCTCCTCCCTCCCTCCTTTCTCTCCTTCCTTCCTTCCTCAGCATTAAAAACTTCTCCAGAGAGCTGTTTTTTGTGTGTATTTTTTGCACAATGTGTCCGAATGTTCAGCCTTGTAAAAATTTGTCCCTCAGGGGTAAGAATTCGGGATTGATTTGTTCAGGAATCCGCTGGCTTCTTTTCTTGGCTTTCCAAGGAATCCCCAGGCGTCTCTTCCATCACCAAAAGTCCAAAATCATCGGTACTTTTCAAGTTTTCCTGCCTTGCTGCTTCCAAATCTACCCTTTGCTTCCATAGAGAGTCACAGGGAAACTGGGGCCTGCCGGGGAGGCTTCTCCGGTTACTAACCTTTATTTATCTCAGGTTGACAGCTGGAGGCTGTTGCTTACAAACTGCCGTCTCAGGTTTAGGACCGCAGTTGCAGTTACAATCCAGCTTGGTCTCAACGACTGGAATCCGCCTGGAGGAAAAAAAAAGCCTCTGCCGTTTTCTTAGTCACATTTTCAAGAATGGTTAGCCATTGCTGGCTTCTTAGGGCTGAGAGAAAGTGTCTGGCTTGAAGTTGCTTTGTGCTGAAGGGAAGATACGAGAATGAGTCTGTTGCTTTAACCACTGCCCCGTGCTGTCTCTCTAGGGCAGTGGTCTCCAAACTTGGCCATTTTAAGACTGGTGGACTTCAGTTCCCAGAATTCCCCGGCACCAGCAGAGCTTTACTCTCTTGCAATCCTCTTCCTCTGCCATCTCTCCTCTTTGGGAGAGAGGAGAAAAAGAAACAGTCACGGCTGGTTTGGAGAATTCTGGGAGTTGAAGTCCACAAGTCTTAAAAGTTGCCGAGTTTGGGGGGCCCTGCTCTAGGGTAGTGGTGCCCAACCAGTGGGCCAGGGACCACTGGTGGCCCGCGAGAAAATTTTGTTGGTCCGCGGAGAAATGTCACCCCCAAAGCAATTAATCCAGGCTGCGCGGGAACACAAAAGAATAAAAAAAGACTTCTGCTGCTTTCGTTGCATGAAGAAGGAGAGAAAGAGGAGGAGGAAGAAGAGGAGGAGGAAGAAGAGGAGGAGGAGGCCTGTGGGGTCCTTAGTGCTCTCTGAATTTAGATGTTTTATTGCAGACATTTCATTACCAAACTAGGTAACATCATCAGGGCTAGAGGGATGTGGGATTTGCTATCCGTAACACTCTGCAAACATAGCACGAATGATGCTAGTTGGGTCATAAAACGTCTGCAACCTCAGAGAACACCAAGGATACATAAAGAAATTATTACGTGGTTTTATTGCAGGGAATTAAGTTCTTTAACTCGATCGTACAATATGAACCGTTAGCCCAGAGAACAGTCTGCATGATGAAGTGAGTCCTCTTTTGCTTAAAGGTCTTCAAACACAGCTCTGTGTGTGTGTGTGTGTGTGTGTGTGTGTGTGTGAGAGAGAGAGGTGCTCGAATACAGAGGTCTCCAACCTTGGCTACTTTAAGCCTGGTGGACTTCAACTCCCAGAATTCCCCAGCCAGCAAATTCTGGGAGTTAAAGTCCACCAGGCTTAAAGTAGCCAAGGTTGGAGACCTCTGCTCTAATATAATGTTTTCCCCACTTGGCAGCTTTAGGATATGTGAACTTTAACTCCCATGCTTCAACTCCCATGTTGGCTGGGGGATTCTGGGAGGTTGAAGCCCATACATCTGAGCTGGCTAAGTTTGAAAAATCCAGTTCTGCTAATTCTGCACTGAGCAGGGTGTTGGACTGGATGACCCCTAGGGTACCCTTTACATTTCGATTCTAGACTTTATGTTTATTCCCAGACTACTAATTCCTAGTAATTTTTTTTAAAAAAAAACAACTTTGTGCAATGTAATGGTTCCTGATTGCTCAAATCCAAATATCCTCATCGCTTAATCACGCAGAAAGTTCTGTCTTTTTTTAAACACCACCACCACCACCCCAAAAAAAAATGAGTAAAAGAAACTTGGAAACTTCGGAAATATTTAAACTCCGTGATGAATTGCACAATGGCTGTATTTTTAAAAAGGGTAGAAAGGGAAATGCCATGTTGCGCGCCCGAGTAGCCTGGTGACGTGGTCCTTCTTTTGCACAACATTATTATTTTTATTTCATGTTTATTTGGGGGTACAGGACTCCCCCCTGTTCACCTTCATTACGAGCCTGCCCTCAGGTCTGTTTTGCCCAAAAGTCACTCTTGAGCAGCCTGGAAGGCATGTGTGTATGTGAGTGTGTTTGTATGTCAGCAAGTTCCCCAGGCACTAAGCTATGTGCTTACCCAGAGTTGTAGGAATGCTATGAACAGGTGCAGAGACCAAAAATACCCGTTTCCCATCCCCGGGCCCATGTGAATGGTCAGCGAAGGAGGGTGGAAAATGGGGGGGCAGGGAAGAGGGGCTTCCAGTGAAGAAAGTTTGATCTTTCTCTTTTGCAGTTTTTTTCCTCAATTTATTTTTCTGGCTCAAAAAAAAAATTCCCAAATCCCAGCCATCCTCAAAAATGTTCCCCCCCTCCCCCAAAGGATTCCATTCTAAGTTTGACTCTCATGGATTGATTTGGTTTGAAGTCAGCTTACAGATAACAGATTTAACAGAGTTGGAAGGGACCTTGTAGGTCATCTAGTCCAACCCCACCCCCCTGCCCAAGCAGGAGGCCCTACACCATTTCTGACAAAGGGCAGTCCAGTCTCTTCTTGAAAGCCTCCAGGGATGAAGCTCCCACAACTTCTGAAGGCAATTTCTGTCCATCGGTTGATTGTTTTCACAGTCAGAAAATTCCTCCTTATTTCCAGGTTGAATCTCTTCTTGTTCAGTTTCCATCCATTATTCCTTGTCTGGCTTTCGGGTGCCTTGAAGAATAGCTTGACCCCCTTCCTCCTCTCTGGAGCAGCCCCTCAAATATTGGAAGATGCTCTCCTGTCTCCCCTGGTCCTTCTCTTCCCTAGACCAGCCAGGCCCAGTTCCTGCAACAGTTCATCGTATGTTATAGCCTCCAGTCCCCTCATCATCTTGGTTGCTCTTCTCTGCACTTTTTCTAGAGCCTCAACATCTTTTTTATAGTGCAGTGACCAAAACTGGATGCAGTACTCTAGGTGTGGCCTTACTAAGGCTTTATAGAGTGGTGTTAGTACCCCCCTTGATCTCGATTGTATCCCTCTGTTAATGCAGTTTAGGATTGCATTGGCTTTTTTGGCTGCTGCTGCTGCACACAGCTGGCTCCTATTTAGCTGGTTGTCCACTAAGACTCCAAGATCCCTCTCAGAGTTCCTGCTTTTGAGAAATCTGGTTTCATCCAATCTATGTGTGTACTTTTGGTTTTTCTTGCCTAAGTGTAGGATTTTACTTTTCTCTATATTGAATTTCATTTTATTAGGTAGGGCCCAGGGTTCTAGTCTGTCAAGATCCGCCTGGATCTTGAGCCTATCCTCTTGGGTGTTAGCAATTCCTGCCAGGTGTGGTCTTACTTAGCCATTCCTGCCAGGTGTGGCCTTACTAAGGCTTTATAGAGTGGTATTAGTACCTCTCTTGAGCCTGATTGTCTCCCTCTGTTAATGCAAATTAGAATTGCATTGGCTTTTTGGGCTGCCGCCACACATTCCCCAGATTTGGGGAATTTGAAGGCTGTCCAGAATGGGTTTAGTTGGGTGGGAGAACTCTCGATTCTCCAACCTGGGAGACATTTAAGGGGTCCGGATTTCAATATCTAGAATTTCCCAGTCAGCAAATTGGTTGAGACCCCCCGGAGCCCCTTCCCCATCTCTTAGGGGGTGGGGTGGGGGGTTTAACAGACCCCTTCCAAGCTCAGCTGGGCTTGTGAGGCGGCAGGACGTCTTTCTGCGCAAGCCTGCAGCTGATGGCGCACATTCCCAGGGCCAAAATAGTCGGCCAAGCAACCTGATCTCTGGGAGGATGAAGCCAGGGTGGGCAATGAGCTGGCTGGGTTTGGAGGTCAGCCAGACGGAACGAGGTGGTGGGGAGGAGAGTCTGCGGGACAGAAAGTATATCAGGGCACAGATTAGATTTTAATATATTGGCTTCCTTTTTTTTTAAAGCATGGTATTAAATTTCCAAAAACGAAAAGCATTTAAAAAAATACGAAATTACAGGAAGTTCACCACTTAATGACTACCGTGGAGGCCCCCACCTACCCACCCAAGCAATGTTTGTTCCTAAGCGAGATAGTTTATGCCGCGGTGGTTGTGTGAACCGCTGCCGTTGTTTTAGTCACCAGGTTGTAAAACGAATCTAGCTTCCCCGTTGACTTTGCTGGGTCAGAAGGTCACAAAAGGGACACAGCGACCGTCATAAAAAGGAGCCAATTGCCAGCTTCCAGGCCGCAACGGTCATAAGTATGAAGAACGGTCGTAAGTTACTTTTCCCCCCCAGTGTTGTCGTCAGGGCTCCAACAGATCTTTTTAGTTGACAGTCGCAACTTTGAATCGGCGCTCAATGAATGGTTGTAAGTCAAGGACTATCCGGATTTCCCATCCTCCTTCTCACCCTGCATCGAGAGCGGTGCGGTGGCCTAGAGGTGGAGCTCTCTCGCCCCACCATCTGGAGGCTGTGAGTTCGATCCTAGGCAGATATTTCTCTCTGGCCACAATGAGAATATAGCTGCTGAAACAAAACTCCGCCCTGGCAACAGGAAGGGTATCCAGCCAGGAAATATTCCGCTCCATTCAGTTGCCCAGACTGCACCCCACAAGGGATTATGAGTTCATTAAAAGTAGACGATGAGGATTCTTGTCCTGCGTCGCCTACACCAGCAGGGTGAAGAAGCACCTGTCAGCTGGGGGGAGGACGCTGATGTCCTCATTCCTGAGTCACCTTCGCCATCATGGCTGTGTTCCAAGGTCTCCATCCTCGGTGGCGCATCTTGGCTCTTTGGCTGGCGCTCACGTGCCTTTAATCCCCTGCGCTGGTGATGCAGTTTTCCCTTCGGTGCCCTTGATTGATGGAGGCTGCCAGTTCTGGCTGCTGGGCTGATGGGAAGTTTCCTTCCTCTGAAACCTGCAGTTTGATGGTCGGGAATGAAGCCGTCTTTGCACCCCTTCGGTTTTCTGATTTTGGGGTGGGGGGGAATTGTTGAAGGACAGGAAGCCCAGCTCGAAAAATTAAGATTTTTCTAGCCTAGAAGATGCATGCGATCTGATTTTTGTTTTAAGTTGTCTGGCCGCGATTATTAGAGGAAAAGCAGATTTCCACCTTCGTCTTCATTTTTCACGTTTTCGGATTTTATTACTGCAATTTCTTGGATTCCTTCTTGTGAGTCACCCAGAGTTGTTCGGAGTCTGCTGGCGTACAGGTTTCATAAACGATGGGTTGTCACACAATCAACCAGGTGTATAGATTGGATTTGGCTTTTTATTTTTTTGGTCCACTTCTACAGTCCTTCCCAAGGACCTAGGAGAGCCAGGCATTGTTTGATGGTTTTGAAGGCCTCCTCACAGGATGTAAGCTGTTTGGAGTAAAGCTGCCTTTGGCAATTGACTGACGGCGACTTTGTCAATTCCCATCGTGCTCTAGATGTTTTGGCAGCTATTAGTAGTGGTACTTTGCTTTTTTTTTTTTTTTTTTTGCCACAGTCAATCTATTTCTACTGAATAACAGAAAAGAATAATAGAATAAAACAACAACTGAATGAAAAACTGCTGGCGACCTTCTACTGCTGCACCATAGAGAGTATCTTAACTTACTGCACACCTGTGTAGGGTTTGCCAATTGCACAGGGGCAGATAGGATCCTGGGTTGCCCTCTCCCCTCTTTGGAAGAGCTTTATAGCTTCCGCTGCCTTAAGAAAGTTCAAAACATCCTCAAAGATCCTAGGAACCCTTTTTTTGAACTATTACCATCTGGCAGACCGGTACAGAATAATAGAAACAAGGACAAATAGGCTGAAAAACAACAGCTTCTATCCCAGGGCAGTAACTCTATCGAATTCTGCTCTATAGTGCAGTATCGGTGCGGTGTCGGGGGTTTCCGGTTCGACGTGTGGAGTGTGAAGGATGTGTGTTTGTGTTTATTTTCATGGTCATGCTGCGCACTGAAGATGGTGTTTGATTTTGTTGTACGAGGTGCAGTGACGATAAAGTAAAGAAAAGAAAAGAAAAGAAAATAAAATAAAAAAAATAAAATAAAAACAGAATAATGGAATAACAGAGTTGGAAGGAAACTTAGAGGTGTTCTAATCCAACTTCCTGCTCTGGCAGGAAACCCTAACCCTATTTCAGACAAATGGCTGTCCCATCTCTTCTTAAAAGGACTTGCGGCGCTGCCCCAAAGAAGATGGCGTCAAATTATTCTCCCAAACCCTGGAGGGCAGGACCAGAAACAGCGGCTGGAAACTAATCCATGAGAGAAGCAAACCTGAAATTAAGGAGAAGCTTCCTCACAATGAACCAGTGGAACTTCAGAAGTTGTGGGTACTTCATCGTTGGAGGTTTTTAAGAAGAGACTGGAAAGCCGCTTATCTGAACTAGTATAGGTTCTCCTGCTTGAGCAGGGGGCTGGACTAGAAGACCTCTAAGAACCCTTCCAACTCATTCTATTCCAAAAACTTCCAGCGTTGGAGCATTCGCAACTTCTGGAGGCAAGTTGTTCCATCGATTTATTGTTCTAGCTGTCAGGAAATTTCTCCTTAGTTCTTCTTAGGTTGGTTCTCTCCTTGTTTAGTTTCTATTTTCTATTTGTTGGTCTTTGTATGTTGTTATCTTCTTTCTATTCTGCTCTCTCCAGGCATTGCCGTGTTCGCTACCTGGATTATTTTATCTTTCCCTGTTAACAATGGTTCAGTCTGGGATGTTTTGTGGCCAATGCTTGCCAGTTTATTATTATAATTATTATTTCTGTTTCCCCTTCGTTGAAATGTCTTCTCCCAACCTATATGCAGCGCTGAGATTTGAACCAGCGGTTTGTCTTTCAGGCATGACAATTACAGCCACCTTCTTGGAACTTATGTGTACATGAAGTATGGGTAGAGCTGAACTATAATTTATAATTTGCACAGGAAAATCCTAGGTATAGAGACCACTGCAACGAACTGAGCCAGACCTGAAGAGCTCATAGAATAAGTCAATTGACACAGATGCTTTCATTCACTTTTCTGACGTGGTACCTGCTTCTAGTTACGCAGATGTTGCAGAAATAAATGCCTTATTGTTGGATTTTTTTTTTTTATATACGTCATGCTGCTTGTAGAGGCACACGGTTGCAAACAGGGAGAGGGATGGCTTCAGTTATGTAGATGTTTTAGAACAGAACCAGGATGCAACGGATAAAGATGGTGACAGGGTGAAGTTTTTAATCATTTTCTATATTGTTTGTTTGTTTTTTATGCTATATGCCATCCAGAGCCTTGCAAATCTTAAAAACAAATAAATAACACAAACCGTATGGCAACCAGGAAAGAGAACGTGTCCCAGAGAAATAACCTTTTGATTTATTACCATGCCTTGTGAAATATAAATTTTAAAATTTATTCCATGGTAATATGAGCATTCAGGTTGCTAGCCCTCAGGATTTGGGGTAACATTTTTGAGACAGGAGGGAGAAGGAGGTTTAACCACAATACAATAGAATGAATGAGCTGGAAGGGTCCTTGGAGGTCTTCTAGTCCAGCCCCCTGCTCAAGCAGGAGAAATTATACCATTTCAGATAAGTGACTGTCTACTTTTCTTAAAAACCTCCAGTGATGGAGCGCCCACAACTTCTGGTGGCAGGCAGTTCCACTGGTTAATTGTCCTCACCGTTAGGAAGTTTCTCCTTAATTCCAGGTTTGGACCCCCTCTTCTTTGGGGCAGCCCCTCCAACACAAGAATACTGCCATCCTGTCCCCCCTAGTCCTTCTTTTCTCTAGACTGGCCCAACTCAAATCCTGCAACCGTTCTTCATATGTATTAATCTCCAGGCCTTTGATCATTTTAGTCGCTATTCTTCTCTGAACTTTTTCCAAAGTCTCAACATCTTTTTTGTGAGATGGCGACCAAAATCGGTTGCAAAATTGGTTGTCTTCCAGGTGTGGTCTCATTAGGGTTTTATTTTATTTTTTAATAAACTTTATTAGAGGTAATCTGGGGCCAAGTTACTTTCTAGAAGAAAGTTTTATGTTTTTATGTCTATGTTTTATGTGTGTGTGTTTAATTAAGAATTAAATAATAAATAATAAAATCTCGGAGGAAGACTAGATGAGAATAATTATAAACAAGCCAGAGGAAAATATAAATGTGATGATTGAATAGCAGATAAATTAGAAAGGAAATATGATTGAATAATGATTAAAGAGAAACAATATGGAATTTGGTAAAGGGAATTTACGTGTTTATATGGAAATGGGATAAATTATAAGTACGTGATATAAAACAATATGTTACCTGCCTTGTAAAGATCTACAATGGAAAGAGGTTTTATGTTTTTAATGTTTAATGATGTTTTGTTTTGTTTGTTTGTTTGTAAAATCAATAAAACTTGTTTTTTAAAAAAACTTTATTAGTCTTTTATGTCTTTTTTTAAAAAAAATCATTACATTAGCAGTTCTATGACATCCATCTCATACTTTTCTGTCTTTTGTGCACATTTACAGATATATATAATTTGTGCAAATATATACATTTAATCTATAGATTGCTTATCTTAAATTCCTTCATTTTCCTTTTTTTTTTTCCTTTAAAACTATACTTTATTAAACTTTGATTACATTAAAAAACCCCAAACCTTATTAGCGTTTTAGGTTGAGGAAAGGAGGCAGTGTTTCTCAAATCTTAGAAATTTAAGATGGGTGGACTTCAACGCTGAGAATTCCCCAGACAGCATGGTTGCCAAGTTTGAAAAATATTTTTGAAGCGTAGCAGTTTTCTATTCCTACTAGCTCGATACCCGTGTACTTCACTACGAAACTATGTGATTGGGCTTAGTTTTGGGGAAGGAAAATAAGGGGGGTGGGGGAATTGTGCCTCTGCCTACTAGCATCCATTGGTATTCATCTGGCTAGCGTCTTGTCAGTGTGTGAGAGAGTTGAGGACTGTTTGGAAACTGAAACAGTATTTGCTGTGTGAGCAAGGAGACAGCAAGGAGCCTGGGCACGGCTTAGCTCAACTGTCCTGTACTCAAGGTGGTTGCTGCTGGGAAATGGAAACTCCTCTCCTCTGCTTGTGTTTTGCATTTGGAAGAGATTTCTTTTCAGGTGGGGAGGGAGAGTAGAACTCCTTAGCATCAGAGCGTGTTAATAATAGTAATATACGAAATACTAATGCTCTGGTGGTCATTTTGAAAATGAGCACCTAGAAGCCAAGAGGAAGATAGGTGCCAAATTTCAAGTTTATAAGCTTTACGGTTCTGGAGATTTTGGGATGACGCGTGAGGGGTATTTCGCTTTTATATGGAGAGATTGGAATTCTAATAGGAGTGACCCTAGAATATGTATAATTCTGAACATTTTTTTTTTCTCCCTTAGGATGATGAGGTTGTCCTTCAGTGTTCCACCGTAGTCTTCAACGAACAGCTGAAGTTATGCCTGGCTACCGAAGGCTTTGGGAATCGGCTCTGTTTTCTGGAACCTACCTCTAATGCTCAGGTGCGTATTGAGGCAGGTGACTTAGGTGTGAGCCTGGAAAGGTGCAGAAACAACAGCTTCACCTGCCCTCCCTGACCTGCGTCCACCTGCTTTCGTACTGGGAATTAGGTATTGAAGTCTATCGGTCTAGAGAACTTGGCTTTCTTTCCGTGAATGGATTGGCCAGATTTGACTAGGTTTATCATTTATATCTTCATTAGATTTTTTTTTTTATCCTGCCTTTATGATTTTATGAGTAACTCAAGGCAGTGAACATTCAACGTACTTCTTCCTGGTTCTGTTTTCCCCACAAGAACCCTGGGAGGTAAGTTGGGCTGAAAACGAGGGACTGGCTCAAAGACACCTAGCCGGCTTTCATTTCTAAGGCAGGACTAGAACTCTCCGTCTCCTGGTGATTGGCTCA